GTGTCGGGACAAATTTTTTTTTTTCATTTTATAGTACATAAAAAAAGCTTTAATTTGATATATGTTTAAAGGACGCAGTATTTCCGGAACATTTTCAAAAGTTCAGTTGAAAAAGTTCTATTTTTTATTCAATGTTTCAAAGTTTGAACCCCCCCTATATAAGGGGAAATTGTCTAATTTTAATAAAAAGTATGTCAAATGGAAGATGTACTTATAATGTATTTAGAAAAAAAAAAATGTGCTGATACATGCATTTTTCGAAAAGTTATAGCATTTTTAATTTGAAAATTAAAAATCGAAAATCGAAAATTTTAACACAAAAATAGTGTTTTTTTAACTACGGCAACCGTTTACATGCAGAAGATAAAGTGTCGGGACAAATTTTTTTTTTTCATTTTATAGTACATAAAATAAGCTTTAATTTGATATATGTTTAAAGGACGCAGTATTTCCGGAACATTTTCAAAAATTAAGTTGAAAAAGTTAGTTTTTGTAAAAAAGTTGCTATTTTAAATCCCCCCTGTGAGCAGAATAAGTGTTAGATTTTCAAAAAAAAATGATATCAAATGAAAGAAAATTACCTAAGGTTTCAATATAAAGAAATATTATTTTGATTAGTTAATATTTGAAAAAGTTATGGCAGTTTTAAGTACAAAAAACATCGTTATAAAAGGTGATTTTTATCGCAAATATTACATTTTTTTTATAATTTCGACTGCCATTTGCACATAGAAGATAAGGTGTCGGGACAAATTTTTTTTTTTCATTTTATAGTACATAAAAAAAGCTTTAATTTGATATATGTTTAAAGGACGCAGTATTTCCGGAACATTTTCAAAAATTAAGTTGAAAAAGTTAGTTTTTGTAAAAAAGTTGCTATTTTAAATCCCCCCTGTGAGCAGAATAAGTGTTAGATTTTCAAAAAAAAATGATATCAAATGAAAGAAAATTACCTAAGGTTTCAATATAAAGAAATATTATTTTGATTAGTTAATATTTGAAAAAGTTATGGCAGTTTTAAGTACAAAAAACATCGTTATAAAAGGTGATTTTTATCGCAAATATTACATTTTTTTTATAATTTCGACAGCCATTTGCACATAGAAGATAAGGTGTCGGGACAAATTTTTTTTTTTCATTTTATAGTACATAAAAAAAGCTTTAATTTGATATATGTTTAAAGGACGCAGTATTTCCGGAACATTTTCAAAAATTAAGTTGAAAAAGTTAGTTTTTGTAAAAAAGTTGCTATTTTAAATCCCCCCTGTGAGCAGAATAAGTGTTAGATTTTCAAAAAAAAATGATATCAAATGAAAGAAAATTACCTAAGGTTTCAATATAAAGAAATATTATTTTGATTAGTTAATATTTGAAAAAGTTATGGCAGTTTTAAGTACAAAAAACATCGTTATAAAAGGTGATTTTTATCGCAAATATTACATTTTTTTTATAATTTCGACAGCCATTTGCACATAGAAGATAAGGTGTCGGGACAAATTTTTTTTTTTCATTTTATAGTACATAAAAAAAGCTTTAATTTGATATATGTTTAAAGGACGCAGTATTTCCGGAACATTTTCAAAAATTAAGTTGAAAAAGTTAGTTTTTGTAAAAAAGTTGCTATTTTAAATCCCCCCTGTGAGCAGAATAAGTGTTAGATTTTCAAAAAAAAATGATATCAAATGAAAGAAAATTACCTAAGGTTTCAATATAAAGAAATATTATTTTGATTAGTTAATATTTGAAAAAGTTATGGCAGTTTTAAGTACAAAAAACATCGTTATAAAAGGTGATTTTTATCGCAAATATTACATTTTTTTTATAATTTCGACAGCCATTTGCACATAGAAGATAAGGTGTCGGGACAAATTTTTTTTTTTCATTTTATAGTACATAAAAAAAGCTTTAATTTGATATATGTTTAAAGGACGCAGTATTTCCGGAACATTTTCAAAAATTAAGTTGAAAAAGTTAGTTTTTGTAAAAAAGTTGCTATTTTAAATCCCCCCTGTGAGCAGAATAAGTGTTAGATTTTCAAAAAAAAATGATATCAAATGAAAGAAAATTACCTAAGGTTTCAATATAAAGAAATATTATTTTGATTAGTTAATATTTGAAAAAGTTATGGCAGTTTTAAGTACAAAAAACATCGTTATAAAAGGTGATTTTTATCGCAAATATTACATTTTTTTTATAATTTCGACAGCCATTTGCACATAGAAGATAAGGTGTCGGGACAAATTTTTTTTTTTCATTTTATAGTACATAAAAAAAGCTTTAATTTGATATATGTTTAAAGGACGCAGTATTTCCGGAACATTTTCAAAAATTAAGTTGAAAAAGTTAGTTTTTGTAAAAAAGTTGCTATTTTAAATCCCCCCCCATGAGCAGGTTAAGTGTTAAATTTTCAAAAAAATTATATCAAATGAAAGGAAAATATCTAAGGTTTTAGTTTAAAAAAAAATTATGTTGATTTGTTGATTTTTGAAAAAGTTATGGAAGTTTTAAGAAAAAAAAGTGAAAAAAATGACAAAATTTGTCGATTTTTAAATTTGTAATTTTTTTGGATATTTCCCCCATTTGCGGGGAACGAGGGAAAATTTTTAAATTTTTAAGGGTAATGTCTTCAACTAGATACAATTTGTGATCTTTTGACGTATTGTTAAAAGAAATCGGTCCAGTGAGAGCTGAGAAAAAGTAGTGACAGACACAAAAAAAAAAAAAAAAAAAAAAAAAAAAAAAACGGTAGCACAGTGGGGTCGCGGCATAGTGGAGACATTGCATAGTTGGGTCCAGTATAGATTTAATCTGACAGTGATTAAAATCACTATCATAAGAAACGCTTCGATGCAAATCTGTAGATAGTGTTTAATTTTAAAAAATTGATGGATAATTGCAAAAGCAACATCAACTTCTATTAAAATAAAATACAAAACCCATAATTATCATACAAAAATAGTATATTTTTCAATATGGTAGCCATTTGCGTATAGAAGATAGATCGTCGGGACAAATTTTTTTTTTTCATTTTGTAGTACATAAAATAAGCTTTAATTTTATATATGTTTAAAGGACGCAGTATTTCCGGAACATTTTCAAAAATTAAGTTGAAAAAGTTAGTTTTTGTAAAAAAGTTGCAATTTTAAATCCCCCCCCATGAGCAGGTTAAGTGTTAAATTTTCAAAAAAATTATATCAAATGAAAGGAAAATATCTAAGGTTTTAGTTTAAAAAAAAATTATGTTGATTTGTTGATTTTTGAAAAAGTTATGGAAGTTTTAAGAAAAAAAAGTGAAAAAAATGACAAAATTTGTCGATTTTTAAATTTGTAATTTTTTTGGATATTTCCCCCATTTGCGGGGAACGAGGGAAAATTTTTAAATTTTTAAGGGTAATGTCTTCAACTAGATACAATTTGTGATCTTTTGACGTATTGTTAAAAGAAATCGGTCCAGTGAGAGCTGAGAAAAAGTAGTGACAGACACAAAAAAAAAAAAAAAAAAAAAAAAAAAAAAATAAAAAAAAAAATAAACACATCATGGTAAAATTAATACCTTCTCAGCTTCGCATCGAAGCTAAAAAAAATAAAAATAAAAAATAAAAAAAAAAACACATCATGGTAAAATTAATACCTTCTCAGCTTCGCATCGAAGCTAAAATTTGTCCCGACGATCTATCTTCTATACGCAAATGGCTACCATATTGAAAAATATACTATTTTTGTATGATAATTAAGGGTTTTGTATTTTATTTTAATAGAAGTTGATGTTGCTTTTGCAATTATCCATCAACTTTTTAAAATTAAACACTATCTACAGATTTGCATCGAAGCGTTTCTTTTTTTTTTTTGATATTATATCATATAACATATAATTTTATCTTTTAAAATCCTATTTAAAAAATTACTTAAGCGCAATATTATAACTGCAGATTTCTGTGCTAAATATTTTTATACATACAATAAAGGCATAAGATTTTTTTGATGGCTCAGTAATAGTTTAGAAATGGAAATAGACGCTATGTTTTATGGTAATTATAGAATCGTAATAAATGTACTCAAATATATATGAAAAGCATATAAAGGAAAGTTAATAAATTTAACTAAAAGTTAAGCTAAATAAAAATACAAATTAAACATAATGCAATGACAAGAGATACGTTTTTATATTAAAGTGATTTATGGATGTGACCTATCAGCGTGGAAAGAATTGGTGTATAAAATATTAAGTAGCAATCACTGGCTAATGAACTATAGACCAACTATTATTAGATTTCGTATTAGATAAATTAAGTATCATTACAAAGTAATTACAAATAAATATTAATATACACTTATCGATAAGTCGATCGCCGTTCCAATGGCGTCCAAAATTGACGAGGTGATGATTTTACTTGATTTATGAAAAACAGAATATTAATACATTTTTATTTCTTACTGTTTTATTATATCCAAAAGAGTAGTATATGATTTTTTTTTAGAATAAAACAAAGAAATATATATGTAAGCACATACACACGATGCATGAAATTATAGTGGTATTTTTTGTACCGTGATTTACATTAAAATGTGCCCATTGCTGTGTAAAACGTTTTCCATGACTTAAAATTTGTTAATAGTTGATAAGAAATTATAAAAATATTTTTATGTAACACATAAAAAAGATATTCACTAATGTGGCAAAATTAATAAGCAAGTTTAAATAATATAGTATTTATAATTAGTAGTTTGTTGAAGTTAAATATAGAAACATATATCATGTAGGTGCTTATGAATATTTTCTTCAAGGAATTATTGTATACATGTTTATAGTGTAAAAACCTTATAATAGTATACATTTGCCGATGAGAAATCTATTTTGATAATTTGTGTCGGATTACTGTTTGAGGCGCATTAACTTGTTATTACTACAAGTATATCGATGCTTCATAATTTATAAGATAATATTATCGTCATGTCGTTATTGAACACGCCAGCGGAAAAAGAAAATACTGCTGTTGAATGTTAGACCTGAATTTAACTTGAATTAACTGTTACGATTATAGATATCAACAATGTTCAAATTTGAAATAAAACCAAACAATTATTAAGTAATAATGAAAAAAATAAAATAAAAATGTATTTAATAATATATAATAAATTTTAATACTACATAGATTTTTTTTACCGTTCAACGTTCTTTTGAGTAACTTATTATAAGTGATATAATCTTATTATTATAAAATACAGCTATCTAAAAAATTATGTTAGATTAAAAATAAAAATATTATTTTAGCATTTTAAAATGAAAAGCATTAAGCAGACATAAATTGATACTCAAAGTAAAACGCTTATTAGGTCATAGTTATATCTTTTTAAATAAATCCTACAAAAATTTTCACTTGGTCATCAATTTTTGTATATTGTTATCGTTAAAATGTTCAAACACTTCTTCATCTTGTCAGCGTTTTCCTTTAAAATTATTTTATTTGTAAATGAGAGTTCATTATTCTATGCAAATCATTATTTTTAAATAACGATTTTATATAAATTAAAATTTTACTCCATTGTAGTATATGTTTATCCCAATGCTTTCTAAAGATTTCGGCCTTATATTATAATCTTTACTTATAGTTAGATTTAGAAATAACTTTTTAATTTTTTTAAAGTATTTCTAGGTCTTTTGCTAGGTTTTTAATTAAAAAATAAAAATACTGTGATTTAAATGCGTTTATAAATTTTGCTAAGTTAATCCGAAGACTCATTAGCCAGTACAAATTAATATTAATTGACTTAAAAACTTATTAATATATTTTTTCTGATGTTATATATTTGTGAGGGAATAGAGAGAGAGTTAATATCTTCCTAAAACGAAAAATATTTCCGCGTTACTTAATTCTACGACAAACTCAAACCCTACAATGTGACTTAAACAAAATGTATAAATGCATTTAATTCAGTCATGATAATTAGTATTAGGTAAAAGCATATTGTACTATACGTATTTTATGGATTAACGCTTGTTTTGCTTAATTAATAAGTAAATATCACGTATATTAGTTAATAATAAAGATTCAAAAATGATATTAGATGTATTTTATTATTTATAATTCGGATAATACATCTTTTAATTACTCAATAAAAGTTGGTTAATTGAATTTATAAATTGACCAGTTACTCATAACTTTTTTTTTCATCCGTTATTCCTAATTATGGATTGATTTTAAGAGTATAATGCCATGTGGTTTATTTCAAAAATTTGAATAGGTAAAACTACAACATATTTTATGTATTTTCGAAAGATAGGGCTGTTTAACATATCACGTATTTATAAGAACCTATCTCATAAATCAGTTGGGTCTCCTTAGTTATTTGATCCCTATAATAAATATGATCTTTACACTATTCTAAATGGTAGTTTAGTCAATACTATTGTTATTTAGTGATGGGTCGTTCACGAACGAACGGGTCTTTTTGAACGGGTCATATCAGTGAACGAGTTGATCCGGATCGCAAAAAAAATAGATATCGTTCATTCGTTCATACGTTCATTCGTTCGTTCGTTTCACGCAATATATCGGACACACTGTTTCATGATTCGTTCATTTACTGAACGTTTACCTGCACTTCGGTTAAAACCTATGCCTAACCTTATATTCTTATAATATAAAAATTTAAAAAAAAAACGAAGAATATATTCTTTATAAGTATATACTTATAATGTTTTTTAAAAAATTAAATAAAAAAATACTTATTGCCAATGAGAGTTTAAAAGCTACACTATTTGGTTTGTGATAAAAACATTTTTATTGCAGGTCTGCAGACTAAATTTTCAAAGTTGTGACATGTTTCTACTAACATAATCATGCAGGTTTAATACAGTTAGATTATTTCAAGTATCCTACTATATTGTTCATTTGAAGAACAATTTTGATTATCAATATATAGCTATTTATTTCATAAATATTACATTCATATAATTATTTATAAGCAAAAATAGGTCTATGAATTATTGAATTTAGCAACTAGGACAAAAATTGACTATTAGACTAATATAATTGTTGTGAGAGGTATTAAACCACCTCACTCTTTTATAATCTGGTCATAGCTGCTGTAAATTGTAATATCTGATTTAGGTGAATTAATTTCTCTATAAAACTCCTTTTATGAAAACAAATAATTTAAATGATTTCGCTTATTATAGAAACAAATTCTATGGATTTATGTACTGCAACTCATCCGCTAGTATAAATTATTTGTTTTTATTCTATACAAAAATATTCGTGTATAACAGCATATTATGTTATTTCAAGTAATTTGTATTTGAAAAAATAATATATAACTCGATTATACAAGTGTATTATCAGTAAAAATTCTGATATCATGGTAATGTTACATGGTGAAAATGCGAATTTGAACGACTCGTTCAGGAAAACCATAGTAAGGAGTAATTGATAAGAACCGTGACCGATCGTAAGAAATGAACGAAAGAACGAGTTATATGAACGGGTCATTTGAACGATCCGATCCAAACGATCCGGATCGTTCGATTGACCCGAAATTCCCATCACTATTGTTATTAACATGGTATTATTTCTGAGAAAAACATCCATTTTACAAAAACGCCTTTTGACTATTGTCATCTAACATCGTTGAGACCCTTTATGGAAGGGTGGGTAGGTAAACGTATTAAATTTATAGTTTAACTACCAATGGTTTGACAATCACTAACATTTGTTGTAGTTATTATGTCGGTCTGTTCAACGTTGACTCTAATGCTCTATAGTCAACGTTGTACATATACGGGAAGTGGGGGTCTGATGAATATCAGTTCTAATTGTTACTCATTTCTCCAGCGGGATCCGGCGACAAGCTTTCGAATTTTTCTGGAATTTTGTTTTTTTGTTTGTTTCCATTTGTTATAATTGTTAATATTTTACAGTTTTCTATTTAATTTAATTATTATTGTGTAATTAATTTACTGAAACGCTTGCGTTTACGGCATTATTGCTTACCACAGGTATTTAAATTAACTGTACTATTATATTTAGAGTATACATTATTTGAAAATCTCGTTATAACCGAGAAAACGCATTTGCAAATTAAAAATTGCCATTGAAATAAATTGTGGTGGTGGATGAAAATTTTCTGTACGATTCTTTTAAATTCTTGTTCAGGAACTAATTAGTGTACTGCTAAATTAATATTATTCCAATATTTATATTTTAATATATAATTACTAATACGCCGTCCTATGATTTTAGTAGTGTACTAGCCAAAATTGGGAATTTCCAATAATTTATTCATAAAAATCAATATATTATATTTTATTAACAACTTCAATATATGTCACATGATGTTTTGCATTTATAAGATAATTTTAAATGGAACTTAGTAGATGAGATTTGCTCACATGCTTATTGATTAATATTTAAATCTCAGATATTTTTATTAAATATTTGAATTTCTTAAATATATGACGTTTGATCTATCCTGATTATTCTTTTATTTTTAAGTAAAATCATCTGATGTGATTTTAACAATTTTTTTAAAAATTTATTCATTCTTTATGTAATGTTGATGAGACCAATTTTTTCCTACATCACAAATTAAATTAATTTTCACCATTTGTTTGGAAAAACTATGAGCTGGAATGTTGAACTAACAATTTAATAACTATTGTTATACTTAAAATGTGTGGAAGTTGATAACAGTTTTAATTTATTTTATCGGCGTTGTCACTCTATCATTGTAACAATTATAAGGCATTATTAGTATATTTAATAGGCATTTTAATGTTAGTTATTTATGGCATCATAGTTAACATTGATATTATATTAAATTTTTTGTGTTTGTGAATTTTAAACAGGGTTTTATGTTTATATTTCACGAGAAATTTTCAGATTCTCTGAAAAATATTTTATATAATTTTAAATTTAAAAATTTTATATTAATTTAGTTACTAAAATTTTTAAGAGTTTATTGAAAAAACTTATTTAAGCTGATTTTTCATAATTTTAGAGTATAATGCTAGAAGTTATTCACTTAAAGACCATTGTAATTATTTTAATTCTTATAATTTTCTTTTCTTTTATATGAAGCTTTAATAATCTGCTTATACAACTAATTATACTTTTGAGTATTAAAAAAAAATTGTTATTTTGAATTAATATAAAAATTTTATAAGACTTGACATTTTTTTTAATGGAGTAAAAGTTCAACATAACTTAAAAAGAATACATTTAATACTTACTTTTAAATAAATAAGGTTAATACAATTATTATTAAATTAAATAATTAACTAATAATTTATTATTATTTTTTTTAATTTTGTTGTAGTTTACCTACTTATTGAAAAATATTGATTTTCATAAAATAAAAATGAAGTCCCCTATATATTGTATAATATACATATATATTGAATTGCAAAATTGCTAACAACAAACTTGTTATTATATTATTTTTTTTAAAAAAACTTGATTAAACAGTTATTTACAAACATTTTTGTTCAAATTTGCTTGATATACTAATTTGAATTTTATCCCATTTGTGGGGTAGAGGTACATTTTTATTTTATTTTATTTTTTTGCATAATGCACAGGTAGAGTGTACATACCCAGTACAAATACCTACTTAATTCTATTAATTTACTTAGTCAATGTATTAAGATTTGTTATAAGAAAATGACTAAAAAAGGTTATTTTAAAATTATCAATATATCAAAACATTTTTAATTTTATTCAATTTTTTATTACAACCAAATATATGTTCATAACATGACCCAAAATAAAAAAATTAATTAAAAAAAAGAAAGTGAAAAAATATCTTAAGTTATAGTTTGTCATGAAAGACTGGGACACTTGTATATAAATATAATATATGCCATTTATTACATGTGATAGTGAAGTAACAGGTTTTTTTTGTTTATCTGGTTGTATTCATTTATAAAAATTATTGCGCCATCTAGTTTCTAATCATTGTAATTTATTATTGTTAACAATAATCAAGTAATCAGAAAATTTCTTTTAAATTGTTTTTGAATAGACTCTGAACTGCAATTTTCTCCTAATTTATAAAAAAAAATTTAAAAATAATAAGTTTTGTGTAATTAATCATGTTTATTATTGTAAAATGTTTTGTATTGTAGCATCTTATATGTTAAATTATTTTAACTTATTTTTGTTAGCCAGTTTTAAATTTTAATTCGCAAGATAATTTGTTGGAGATTTAAATAAGGTATGAAAATAAATTGATTTTATATTAATAAGATATTAGAGTATATCTCCTGGAACAAGGAAATGGTGGATTTAATTATTGAGTAAGTGGAATGGGAAGCTGTGGCATCAAAGAAAAAGAATAAAGTAGCAGGACCAGTTGAAGTGCATGTAGAAGTATGGAAAATATTAGGTGGTGTTGGCATAAGGTGGTTGAAGAATCTTTTTAATAAATTCTTATTAAAAGGAAAAAAGCCAAAATAATGGAGGAATAGTTGTTTTGGTATCAATATTTAAAGGTAAAGGAGACATACAAGATTGTGGAAATAATTGAGGCATAAGCTTATAATGAAAATTTGGGAAAATGTAATAGATAAGAGAATAAAAAATGAAACATCGTTATTTAAAAACCAGATTGCATTTATGCCTGGTAAGTCAACGATGGAGTCATTTTGTGTGAGACAACTAATAGAAAAGTATAGGGAATAGAAGGAAAAAAAACTGTATGGTATTTATAGATTTAGAGAATGTGTATGATATAGATTTTAAAGTGGGCATTAATGAGATCCCGAAAAGGTACATTAATTTAATAGAAGATATGTGGCACTTGTACCAGGATAAAAAGCGTAGGAGGAGTATCAGAAGGTTTTTGGGTAAGAGTAGAAGTGTACCAAGGTTCTGCTTTAAGCCCTTACTTATTCTCTATAGTGATGGATGAAATTACTAGAGAAATGCAAGGAGAATAGTCATGGTGCATGTTGTTTGCTGACGGTATTGTGTTAATAGGAGAAAAAAATAATAAGATTTTATTTAAAAGTTCCTTCAACCACCTTATTCCAACACCGCCTAATATTTCCATACTTCTACTGGCACTTCATCTGGTCCTACTGCTTTATTCTTTTTCATTGATGCCACAGCCTCCCATACCTCTTTCTCATTATTTAAATCTACCAGTCCCTCATTTCACGAGATATCCTCTAATGTCCTTTTTGAGTACTCCTTATTCAATAATTTTTCAAAATACTCTATCCCCCTTTTTCTTACATCATCATCACTCGAGAGTACCTTATTATCAACACTTTTTATACATCTTATATAATGATAATCTTTAGACCTTTTTTCTCTTATCTTTGCAAGTCTATAGATTTCTTTCTTGCCTTCCTTTGTTCCTAGCCTATCATACTCATCATACCTCTTAAAATTCGCCTTACTTACTACACACTTGGCTTCTTTGCACAAGCGTTTATACTCCATCCAGTCTTCTCTCCTTTTGCTCTTCTTCAATACTTTGAATTGCTTTTTCTTACATTATATTTTTTGAACGTCTTTATCCCACTGTCAGGTTTCCTTGTTTTTTGGAATTCTACTCCTACTCTTATCAACAATCTCCTTTTTAGTATTCTTTACATAACTAGCAAATCTATTCCACACATAATTTATGTCTCCTTCGACTTTCCACACCGTTCTCTCTTTTACTGTATTTACACACTTTTTTTCATTTTCCCTTTTCAATTTTCACCATTGGATCCTCAATTTTTCTTATGTGTTTCTTCTATTTTTGTTTATTCTTTTTTCGGTACACCACAACTCCATTACCATCAGTCTATGTTGTGTAGTTACACTCTTGCTTGGTATAACTTTATAATCTTTTACTCGCTTTATGCTCTCTCTTCCACATAAAATAATCTATCTGTGATATATTCCTCCCATGTCTTATAAGTTATATAATGTTCTTCCCTCTTTCTAAAATAAGTATTAATCACAGCAAGATGATACGATACTGCAAAATCCAGGATTCCTTCTCCAGCCTCATTTTTCCCACTAAAACTATACCCTCCATATACTCTTTCATATCCTCTCCTCTCATTATCTACATGTCCATTTATATCTCCACCAATCACTGCATCCTCATTGCCAGGTACCCCTTGCATCACCTCATCCATCACTCTCCAAAGCACTTCCTTGTCTATTTCATCACATCCTACTTGTGGTGTATAAGCACTTATTACATTCAGCACTTTTTCTTCGAATATCAATTTTACGACCATAATTCTGTCACTTTTCCTAGCTACTTCTACTACTCTACTTTTCATCTCCTGATCTATTATTATCCCTACACCATTTTTTGTACTAGACTTACCTGAGTATATTTTATAACCCTCGCCTATTTCCCTTGATTTCTCTCCTTTCCACATAGTTTCCTGCACACAACAAATGTTAACTTTTCTCCTCTTCAATACTTCTACTAATTCTCTACTTCTACCAGTTAATGTTCCAACATTCCAAGTACTTATTCTTACTTTGTATCTATCTTTCTCCCTTATACACGAGTCCAGCCTAGAGTTAAGTGGTGATGTCCCTACACCGTTGACACTACAAGCATTGCGTAGACCTGTACTTTCTGTTGTCTCTGCGTACATCCGAGATGGGACAATCCGCCTAAGTTTTGTTCAGGATTCCTCATACTTTTTTGACAACGATTTTTATGTCAGCTGTCAACCTGACATAACCTCATTAGTCGCCTCTTATCCACAGGGAAAAGGATATTATTATTTCTACTAAGAATTTCATATATTACAAAGAAATGATACTGAAATAAAAATGTTTAAATTAATAAATCAATTTATTAAATTGCTCATTTATTCAATTTATGTTTATCATTGCTAAAAGAATAGTGGTAATTAAACAATATTACATAGAGAGATTAATTACCCTTTTTTGTCTTTCTTCGTTAGTTCTAGAAGTAATAGACGTCATTATAAATATTTATAATCAAAAAATTGTTTTAAGCCATATAAAATATGATATTTATTTAAAAATCGAATTAGAATAAATATTTGTTGCTTAAGCTTATTATCAAACTAGAACAAATTAATATGTGTTATAAGTAACAAAAACAATTAGTAAGCGTTAAATGTAAACGTTAATACATAAAATAAATATTTTGTCTCATCCTGGTTGCCAAAATTTTTAACTTGAACATGTAACATAAATTTATAGAACTGTTTTTTTAAGATTTAAAAGCTGGTAATTTTGTACCAAATAAGTATTATTTGTAAAGATGTTTAAGATTATTTTTTATATATCGAAAATTTTTCAATTATAAAATATAAAAATATAAATTCTAATTAAATAGATATTACAGAAAAATGTATATAGAGTGTGAAATAGTTAAAAGGAAAAAACAAAAACCATTTTTAAAAAGTTGATTTTAAATTTTTTAGTTGTGTCTTGTGTTAAAGTAATAGTTATATGAAATAATTATATTTAAAAGTGAGGTTCTAGATTTTAAATTGATGTTTTTTATATCTAGAAAATTATTATATATTATCTAATATCTAAATTTTTTATTTATTTTATACTTTATAAATTCATCTTGGCTTTTATGGCAATAACAAAAACAAATTATATAAATATAAAGAAAAATAATTGGAAAATATTCTAACAATAAGGTTACATTTGATAAATAGAATGAAATCTCTTAAATTATTCCATAATTATTAAAATACTGTAAGTTATTATATTCAGCGAGCAATATATAGTTTTGTTTTTAAAGGGAAAATATTTTATACATTTTTCAACCTGTATTTCTTATGATTTTATTATACAATTTATTCATTAAATTATAATTCAATTGAATGATTAGAATTTTTTGGTTTTGTAAATATCTTTAATTTAACAATGATTTTGTACATCTTGTATTTCTAGTTAATTTCATAACATAAAAACAAATTTTTTAAATTTCTCAAATAGTTACTTAATTATATAATTATTATAACTGAAATAAATGTTGGTTTTCTTATTTTAAAATTACTAAAAATCAGCCAAATTTCTTTAATTCTAAATAGAACAATGCAAGATGGTAAAAATCATTATTAAATTAAATAAAAAAAAAAATCTTAACAAATCAATCTACTTAATTGAATTTTAATAATAAATAAATCAATAAACAAAAATTTAATTCAAATGTTGATTAGTAATGACATATATTTTGTCAAACATATTTATTTTAATCCAACTTATCCTAGAAAATTTTTTATTAGTTAACCATCAAGGATAATGGAACCTATTAGACCAGCCCGTGGTAGAGCACGTCCACGTCCTCAAACAATGCCTGGCCAAGGTGGACCATCTGGACCACCTCCAAGAGGCCCTCGTCCTAGTGCTCCTCTTGCTGGTGTGACACGACCAGCTCTTAGACCCCAATTACCTCCTATTACTAATGTTCCCAGACCACAACAAAGACCATTACCTGGTGTAAGCATTTATTTAATTATTATTAAAATTGTAGTATTATCTAAAATTGTATAAGTAATGAATTTTTATTTATTATTTTTAAATACATATTGAATTATTAGCTGTATAAAATAGCTAAGTTTATCCTTTATGCCTTGTAAGAGAGTCAATTTTTTTTTCCAAATGCGAACACATATTTTGCATTTTATAATATGATATTTTTAATAGTAAATGGCATTTACATTTTTAACATAACTTCATTAAGATATTCATTAGATATAATATTATAAATTTTGAATTTTTAAGTTAAGAAGTTACATACATAATATACTAGGGATTATACTAACCAAAAACTAATGGATTCATTTATAACTGGTCAATTCAAAGTTGCGTAGCATATATTTTCATTATCACTTAATATTGATAATGAAAATTTTTTAATTTCAAAAGTAAAAACACTTATAACTGATAGATAAACTAAATTAATTAATAAATTTCAACAATATAAACTAAAAATAAAAAATCTTATATATTAAAAATGGATCACTTGTGACTAATATTATTTAAAATTAAAATTTTGTGATGCTCGGGGAAAAGGGCTTAAGTTTAAAATCAATCATTTCATAGCTCTTTATAATACAAAAAAGAATAATTCTTTTTTAATATAATTTAATATCATTACACTATTTTTGTATTTAGTTTCTTTTACCCAAGCTCAACAGAATTATTTTAAAAATATTAATTTAAAATTAAAAATACATAACTTGTTATTTAACTCTTTATTAATTAAAAATTTTTTTAAATGTTTTCGTTTGAAAAAAAACAAATTGACACTCTTACAAGTAATGTTACTGAAAGTAATCAAAAATATAAAATTTCAAGATTATTTATATTTTAAGAATAGTTGCATATTATATATTTAATAATTTATATTGTAGTCAAAATAATATATGTTGACACCTCAGCCTTCAATGTATAAAAATTTTTTATTAATTTTATCTTATATGATGATGGTATTTAAAAATTCATTGATATTTTTATATATATATATATATACTTCATTTTTTTCAAAAATTAAATTTTATTCAATAAATCCAACAGTTTTGACTATTTAACATTTTTCTTTTTTTAATAAATGGATTGTTTTTATAGCTATGAAATATTAATGGAGCAAAAATGTTATTATATTAGTTTTTTAATTAAATTATAGTTTCTGGAACAATATTTTCAATTTGTCCAGAACATTATGATAATATTGTTTCAAAACCCTTAATTTAATAATAGATTATTTAAGAAACATTTTTTTGTATGCTTTAAAAATGCCTGGATGTATTGCAATATTTAAACATAATACTACAGTAATAACTTTTATATTCATATTGAGTAATATGTAATTTTTGAAAAAATAACTTTTCCAATCCCTGATATATTTTATTAATTAATATTTTTGCTAAAAGTAAATTATTCATTTAAAATTTTTAAGTATTTCATTACTGCTACTAAATTAAAGAATAACTTAAAAAAAAAGAAATTAATTCTATTGTATTTATTAAAAAAAAATTTTTTTATTTAAATATTTTTATTCTATTTTGCCTTGTAGGTTGATCAAGTAACTGAAGGTGTTCGTAACTTAGCTACAGGTTTGATATTTATAATATCTAGGGATTTATATTTTATTTTTATAATTAAATATTTTTGATTATCTTTTTACAGGTGATGTTCCAGTACCAATTGGTCGTGGAGCTATACGTGGCCGGCGTCAAGTTGAGACGGAACATTTTAGAGCTCCACGTCCTGAATCATCACTCGGAGAAAAAGGAAAAAAAGGTAATTTTAACAAATAATTTTAACCAAATATTAATGGTAAATTAAAAAAGTTAAATAATTTTAAACTTTTGTTAATTTTAATTAAATGTAATTTGTTTATACAGAGTAGTAGTTCAAAAGTAATTAGACTTTCAAACTACGTGAATCATTCTGTGTATATCAATATATTTAATTTCATATCTTAGTTATAACTGTTAAATTAAATATTCTATTAAATTACCTAATTTAATAAAATTGTGTATCGTAAATGAACTTAAAGAATTTATGAAGTGTATGAAGTTATTTTTAATTATTATTTGTATCATATTAAAGTTAACTTTTGTCTGTAGGTAGTAGTGGTACTGAAGTAAAATTGCTGGCCAATTATTTTCCTATTACATCTTATACAACCTGGTGTTTATATCAATATCGAGTTGATTTTGATCCTCAAGAAGACCGTTTATCTACAAAAAAAGGATTGCTTGCCCAACATAAAGATCGTTTTGGTGGTTATCTTTTTGATGGATCAATGTTGTTTACTAGTGTTAAATTAGATCCAGATGTGAGTAATATTATCAAATAAATATATATTTAATTTTGAATTAGATTAAATAATTTTAATATCATAAATTAGGATGGCCAAAATGTATATGTTTGTATATAATCTATTGTTCCACACACAACTCAATTGTCTATCAAAAACATCCCAAATGAATAATTTCAATAATTAATATTTAAGATTAATCTATAAAAAATGATTGATATGTGAGATCCGTTTAATATATTAGTTTTGGTATCTTTTTAAACCTATTATTCTAAAGAAATAGATAATCCTCAACAAAAACCTAACTTTGTAAAAGGGCTAAGTTTGAAGAAACCTCCTTCCACCCAAAAAAAGCCTAACAAAGTAGTAATATTTACATTGTGGCCAAGTTTGTTCTTTCCTTAGTTCATAAACTTAATTCTTACTTTTATGAAAAATATTGCACTATTTTTCTAATGCTTAACACTTGTTCAGATTTTAAATGAGGCATATAAAACAAATTTTGCAACTAATTCCAATGAATTCCATGAAGGTATCTGCTGAACCAATATATATATATTTTTTTTTGAGTTTATAAAAAGCAAATTTAGCCACATTATAGATATCTCTACTATGATAGGTGTACGTTTTTTGGGTTGAAGAAAGTACATCAAACTTATGGTAGAGGAGGTCATTTATCACAGTCAGGTTTTTGTTGAGAATATAATTTCTTGTTACTAGCTTAAGCCAACAAACAAATAATTTTCATAAGCTACTTAAAAATCAAAATTGTTCACTGCTATCTCTGCAGCCCTCCTCAATGACCCTTTTGCAAGACTATTTATTTTGAGAAAATGACAATTTCCTGATTTTTTTTTTACTTTCACTATAAAATATACTTTTGTGTCAAATTTCATGTTTTTACCTATATTGGAAGTGACTAGCAATTTTGATGATGAAGCTGTTGGTCGATTGTTCATTAACAAAAAGGACACTTTAAAATGCCTTAATATAGTGACGAGTTCACAAATTTCTTAAACTCACAAATTAGTAAACTTTTATAAAAATTGAAGGTTTAAAATTCTAAATTTTAAATTAAAAAAAAAATATTAAATTAATAATTATTATATTTATATTGTAAACCAATATGAACTAAAAGTTATGTCTATTATTATAATCAGGAATACCAAATGTGTTTAATACTATAACACTATTAATAACACAGCTCCACAAAAAAAATTGAAAAGTGCTAGTAAACAGACCATGTTTAGTTAATGTTTGTGAGGTTGCTGAATCCTAATCTGATTATTATTTCACATCAGGGTTCATCAGAACCTCGAAAAATGTGTTAAAGAACCAAGTAATTACTGAACTGTATCAACAGGACAATTTCTATACTAATACCATTGCCCTCACCTAGTATTGTGTTAGCACTGATGTATTGTGTGGTCATATGACTATATTATGCTAAAAGTACTCTCAGCGTCAGGTCAGTCTAAATAATGTTAGGTTACAGGTTAAAGCACTGCACACATTAGATTTAGGTTACAAATTTTCCTGTCTTACTTCCTAATGAATAACTTGGTTCTCAAGCACATTTTTTAAGGTTATGAAAAACCATGACATAATGGTGTCAAACAAACCTCAGATTCGGATTCAGTGAACCCACAAACATGAAGTAAGTAAACATGGTCTGTTTACTAACACTTTCATTCAGTTTTTTTTGTGGAGCTGTGTAATGGTTTATTTTAAATTCTACTTTGTTTGTGTCTATTGTTATGTATGCAACAAAATATAATAAGATACTTACAATCACTTGATATAATATTAATCTAGTTAATTAAGTACTGCAACATTAAATAGATCATAATAGACTAGAAGACTGATGATGCTTTTCTCTAACAATAGTAGCAATTGGCTAGCGTTCTGGTATTGCTTAAATGAAATATTTATATTTGATATGTTTCTTTTGGTTGGTCTCAATAATTAGACTATTAATGTTACTCTATTAATACACTTGTGAAACTATTCTAGAAGTCCATAAAACTATTGTAAGATACACCTATTTTCAGGGCACATAATATTTTAAAATAAATACAATTCTATTTAAAAATTTTCTTTTTTCCTCCTTTAGTGTGATTGTTAAATGTTATTTTTAAAATGACATCTTTGGTATGGGATATTTTGTGATTAATCCAAATGACAGCAGTTACGTCATTTGCAACTTTTGTAATAAAAATTTTTCTAAAAGTGGTGAATCTATCTGTATATTGAACAAAAATTATTGTTAAAGAATTATTACGCACAGCTCATTAAACATTCTTAAATACAGACATGTGGTCATTTACTGCTAGTAATGATTATTTAACTCTCACAGCACATTGTATATGAATAAACCTTATAAAAATAATAATATGGAGTAAGCCACACTGAGATAAATATCAAACAGTTAATGATAATTACCATATGAATTATTTTAATGTATCTAAAAAAGTAAAATATCCATTGTTCGAAACTTAAAAGTTGACATTTAACTTCTGAAAAAATGAATCTAAATTTAAGAAATTACAAAAATTAAGAGTTTTAAATGAAATGTAGAAAAATATTTTATATAATTGTTACTTAAGTTTAAAATATTTGTATTAGCTAAGTTGAATAAAAAAGGCTCTTTTCTACAGTTGGACAAATATGTTATATTTAATGTAACATTGGATTTAGAGAATTAAGAATTCTAGTTTTTTAAATATTTTATATTTTACATTTTTTACTTTAAAATGCTATAACTTTTTAAAAAATGTATGGATTAATACAATTTTTTCATGAGAAATAACAATTACATCCCTCTTTCATTTAACATTATCTTAATCAGGATATTAATAAGGGAATAGCAAATCATGTAGCTTTTGGAATAATCCACCAATTTTTTAAAATTAAACACTTAGGATTTGCATTGAAGCTTTTTTTTTGATAGTGATTTTAAACACTGTCAGATATCATTATACTTGATCCAACTATGCCACGTCACCACTGTGCTGCAACTTCTCTGTGCTGGGTTTTTTTGTAATGCTACTTAGGATAAGTGATGTATATTTAAAATTTACAATTAAAAAAAAAAAATTAAAGTAAAAAGCCATAAAATAATGTTATATGATATATATTTTGAAGTTTGAGTTAAAAATTCGAAAATATCTGTATTGTACTCAATTTTAGTTAAATAGTTTTATAGTATTCTAAGTTACTACAGCTTGATCTATGTTTTAAATTTCAAATCCAATCTTAAAAGGTAATAGATATGAGTGTATTGAAAAACTGGGCTTATTGTTTTATTATTGAAACATCAGCTTTGCTAAAATGTTGTATTCTGTCGTGCTCTCAGATCTGCAAAATGCTGCTCTTTAAGATATTTGATAGCTTTAATTTATGATTTACCAAATATTACAACAATTTTATTATATTAATTATTTATTTTTTATTTTTTAGACTTTCGATCTTACTTCTACACGTAGATATGATGATCAGATGTTTATTTTAAAAATTAAATTCACCAACAGCATTGAACCAGGAGATTATGCATACATTCAAGTATTCAATTTGTTGCTGAGGAATTGTATTAGACACCTTGATTTGAAATTAATAGGACGTAATTTTTATGATCCAAAAGCTATAGTATATAAACATCAAATTTAAATATATTTTCAATATTAATAGTTATTTTTGTCATTTTAATGTCTAAGATTGATCTAGCACAATATAAAATTCAACTATGGCCTGGGTATGAAACTTCGATTGCTAAATATGAAAATGATATATTATTGTGTGCCGAGATATCTACTAAAGTAATGCGACAAGAAACAGTTTTAGATTTCTTTAAACAGTGCGCTGAAGATCGAAATAGAAATCCTGATTGGATGGTAAGTTTTTATAGCTAATTTTTAGGTAAATGATTCTGTGTGATAAATAAATATGTAAAATTTTGCTTTTTATTAAATTTGAAGCAGATTAAGATCAAAATAAAGAAATATATGGATGCTTTTCTTCTTATATAATATATTCCTATGTATTAAAAATTAAATCATTACTAGAATTTATATTTTAATTAAAAAAAAAAAATCTTGTGTCCAATCAATTAAATTACTAATGCCTCATTAGTGTGGGGTGGGTGGGTAGGGCTATATTTTGATAATTCTGTTATATTATTGATCCTGTTATTTTTTCAGATTACTTTTAAAAATGGAGTAATAGGAACAACTGTAATGACAAAATATAATAATGAAACTTATCGTATTGATGATATTGATGAAAATTCAGACCCTTCATCAACATTTAGCAAAAAGGATGGTTCAAAAATGTCTTATAACCAATACTACCAAGAGGTATCAAATAACTTTTTTTTGTACATTACCCCAATATACTTAAATTTAATTTACAGAAATGGAATATTACTATTCGAGGTGGAAGACAACCTATGCTTATATCTAAAAACAAGAAGTCTGTTCGGCAATTTGGAGGCGAAGAAGCTATTGTATATTTGGTTCCTGAGTTATGTATCATGACAGGAATTACTGATAAAATGAGGTTAGTATAAATTGAGAATTTAAGAAGAAAAATAATTTTGTGTTTATAATTATTATTCGAAACACAAGTTTTTTTTGCAATTTAATATTTAATAATAATTTAGTATTAAATTGCAAATACATAAGATTCTTGATAAGTTCAAGATAAAAGAAAATTTTTTCAATTTGGGTTTTGAGTATCTATGTCTTTTGGAAAAAATTTGATTTAAAGAGTTGAAAAAATTTTTTTGTTCATAACACTTAGCTGTACACAAGTAACTGGTTCTGTAGTAACTGAACTTTATTAGAGTAGAAACATTTTATTTTTATGTTGAGTGAGTTATAATGGCTTCTTCAATTTATATATTTTCTGTAATTTAATTGTTTTATATTTGTGCAGCATATTTTATAATATAAATTTAAATTAAATTAGTATTATGATTATTTTGTAATTACGTACTGATTCATAAAATAAAATTTTAAAAACATTTTAAATAATTTATCCTTTGGACTGTTTATTATGCCATAAATAATAAAACCAAATTTAACCGTTAATTTTAGTTTGTTTTTTTATTAGTTCAGTGATGTGATATATAATAATACTATAAATATTTATAGGAAATTTATATTTCTCAATTTTATAATAACTATTAATCATCAAACATATTTTATAATAATTGAACATATTTTAGCTTCGATGCAATGCTGAGAAGGTATTAATTTTATTATAATGTTTTAATTTTTTTATTTTGTGTTACCACCTATTCTCAGGTCTCACTAGACCGATTTTGATGAATAATATGTCAAAAGATCACAAATTGTATCTAGTTGAAAAAAATTCCCTAAAATTCTAAAAGTAAATTACAATTTTAAAAATCTGTAATTTTTAACAGGTCTTAGGTATTTTCCGACATTTTGTATATTTTTTTTGAAAATCTGATTTTTTACTTGTCTACAGAAAAGATTCAAAATAGCAACTTTTCCACAAAAAATTAACTTTTAAAAATGTTCAGAAAATACTAACATTTATATATATNTTATAATTGAGTTATTTAATATTAGAGGATGCTAACACATAATTTTAAAAAATACAGGGTTGGGCAGAGGAACCTGACACATTTTAATAACCACTTGCGCGGCCGCTATTAATCGGAAGAGGTTGAAACTCCGGGAAAATAAACTAGACACTTAAAGGTTTTTTTTGTTTATTTACCAAAAATTATATCGGCTAAATGATGGCCGTTACAAGCAATACAATTTTCGAGGCGTTTTTCGAAATTATCATACACTTTTTTCAACATCGCTGGCTTTATTTCTGCAATTTCTCTCCTAATATTGGCTCTCAGCTGGTCCAAGGTTCGAGGTTTGTTAGCGTAGACACGTTGCTTCAAATAGCCCCACAAAAAGAAGTCGCACACTGAGAGATCGGGCGAACGTGGTGGCCATGGAAACTCAGTGTTGCGAGACAGCAGACGGGTGCCGAATTCTTCGCGTAGGAAATCCAACGTCTTTTTCGCCGTATGGCACGTGGCGCCATCTTGTTGAAAGAGGGTGCGACGAAACTTGCGTTTCTTCTTCAACTCCGGTATTAAGAACGTTTTTAACATCTCCAGATAGCGCTTCGTGTTGATTGTTCCTTGAAAGAAGTAAGGCCCCACTATTCCCCACTCTGCAACTCCACACCAAACAGTCACGCGTTCGGAATGTAACGGCTCTTTGACTATCTGCTGAGGATTCTCCGTAGCATAATAACGACAGTTTTGTTTGTTTACTGTCTTGTTCAAATAAAAATGAGCTTCGTCGCTAATCATTAAAAACTTACGGTCAATTTCTTCGTTGTCCAACAACTCCTTCATTTCTTCTGCGAATCTTAATCGAGCTGCATAGTCGGTATATTTCAATTCCTGGGTTATGAGAATTTTGTAGGGATGAAAATTCATCGCTTTCAACATTCTGCTAAACGATCAACGAGACATTCCGAGAGCTTGAGCATGTTTACCGGCAGAACGGCGTGGACTTCGTTGCAAAGAGGTGCGAACGCGTGTCTCATTTTCAGGGGTTCTTACCGTTCTTGGTTGCCCTGGAGGCTTTTGTTTCGTGGCTGTGGCTGTTTGTCGGAAGTTTTTGACCCACAGATTCACAGAATTACGAGAAGGAACCGGATCTCGTGGACGAAGAGAATATTCAATACGAAAATCGCGAATTGCTTGAACGTAGAACTGAGTTATGAAAAAACGCTCGCAAACGAACGCGCGTTGTTGCGGCGGCCACTTCTCCATACTGGAACTGTACTGATATGTAAACATAAACCTTCAACCATCTATTTTTTGCTCTCGGAGTTACAGCGCCCTCTTTTCACTTAGCCCCTCTAAGTGAAAATTACGATTTTTTAAAATGTGTCAGGTTTTTCTGCCCAACCCTGTATATATCTTTTTTTGTCTCCCATAACGATTAGGATATCCCCTCTAATTTTTTTTAATAGCTTTATCCATTTGTTTGTATTCTTCTTCTATTTGGCTATCATTACTGTTGAAAATTGGCATATAAATTTGTAATATAATTATGTCTTTTGGTTTGACTTCTATTTTGACAAGAACAATTCTTTCACTGTACTGTACGTATTAACTTAACTTTCTTTCCAATATCTTTTCCAAGTATTATGCTTACTCCTCTTCCAGGATTTTCAGCTGATGTACCTGAGTTTATAAATGTATATTCACCACTCCATATATCTCCAGCTTCAGGCCATTATATTTCTGAAAGTCTCAGAATATTGTAGTTCATCCTTGCCATTCCTATTTTTAAATTATCCAATTTACCTCATTGTATTAGGGTTCGCACATTCCAAGTTGCTATTTTTCTATCTCGTCTATCTTCCTGAAAGATACCTCTGGAATCTTATATTTGAAAGAACATGTGTCATTGCTGCTACAAAGGAATGTAGAAGCGGTGGTCTCCATTTAGCAGTGTAACCATCAGTTATATGGCTGCCATATTTACTGATTATTGCTTAATGTGTAGCTGTTTTTATTTCTAAAGAGGTTACCTGCGCCTAAATTCAATATTGTAAGAGCTCCTGCCCTCAAGAAGTCCCATTTTATCACCTTTTATGACAGGCAGAGACAACTGTTGGTCTATAGTTTGCCCAATCACCAGGGAAACTCTGTGTGTATTTGTACCAGTCTATAATATTCCAATTTTTTTTGGTAAAATATTACTGTAAATCATTTAAAAAAAAAAAAAAAAAATTATTTTGGGTTTCATATAAATTTAACAATGAAATTTTACAATTAAAACTAATTTTTATATTACGCTATATTGAGTATATTTTTTTAACAAATTTTTTGTTTGTTTTTTTTTCATTTTCAATCTGAAACTAAGAAGTTATTGGTCTTGTGTGTCCATTAAAATTTTCAGCTATCACTGGACTAATTTTGATGATAATACATCAAAAAAACCTATTTTAATATGGTTGAACTAATAGTCATACATTGGAAATAATCCCTTAATTTTAGAAATTTAGACAAATATCTATCTACTGTAAAAAATAGCAACTTCATAAAAAAACTTTTTAAATTAATATCTCCACAAATAAGAATAAAGAGTTTTTGTTTTTATATTTAGAATTGCATAGTAAAATCACTAAAATAAAACATTTTTTAATCAGCATAGACCAAGATATACTTAGCTTAATCATGTTTTTGTGCTGATTTGAAATCTGTAATTAGTTTTTTTTCGTCTCTTTTTTTGAGATTATTACTAATTTATAAAAATGCATATTTACATTAAAATTTTTTTTTGATTTTTAATATGTTATAAATAATCCATGCAATATTTTGATTCAAAATATCATGTTTATCAAAGCGTTTCTTATGATAGGATTTTAATTACTGTTAGATATCATCTATACTTGTCCTAACCATACTGCGACCCCCCTGTGCTATGGTTTTTTTTATTTTCATACTTGTTCATTACTAATTAAAACTAATTAGAAAAATAGGTTGATAAACACATGACATTTTAAATTGAAATTTGGCATAGACTATTTGTAACATATTTTATATAACACTTATTTTTACTAAATTAGTAATAATCTCAAAAATTAGAGGTGATAAAATATATATATTATAATTTATAATTATAGATTTCAAATCAGAGAAAAATTGATCTTGGTAAGTAAAGTATATTGTTGACTTTGATGAAAATTCCTTATAGTATAGTGTAATTATTTATAATGAAAAATTATTTTCTGAAATTTGTACAATACTAAATTATTGAACATCATCAATTTCGTATTAAATTTTATTACTATAATAAGTATTTATTTATATATTGTTTTTATAATTAAAAAAACTACTATTCAGGGTATAATAAAGGAAATAGAAGTTGATATTTGGAATAATCCAATATTTTCTAAAAAATTAAACACTGTCAGACATACTTGTCCCAACTATGCCACATTATTGTGCTGCTGTTTTTTTTTTTTTTTGTTATTTATAATTTGTTATGCGTGTATATTTTGTTTTTTTAAATTATGATAATTTATTAGTTAATGTGATAATATTCCAATGTACAATGAATAAGGAAGTAACTCAAAAAATTTGACTTTGTGATTATGAGGTATTTGGATTTAGGTTTTACTCCTCTTTTAATAACTTTTTCATCAAAAATTTTGTTTGAATCGGAATTAAACTACTTAGAAAATTGATAAACATCTGAGAATAAATTGTATTTTTATATTATATTTATTTGTTGCTCATTCTATATATGCATTAAAAATATAGAATAAATTTATTCTATACCTGTCAAATAAATAAACTCATTTGAATTTTATGTATTATTCCTTCTAGTTTTATACATTTTTTATTTCAGAAATAATTTAACTTTAATGAGAGATATGGCTGTGCATACACGTGTAGATCCTAATGAACGGGTTAAACGTTTAACTAACTTTGCTCACCGGCTTCTTTCTACACCTAAAGTAAGTTAAAGTGGCAAGTTTTATTAATAAATAAAATAAAATATCAATGATAGTACTTAATGAACTATAATTTTAAACTTTTAGGTAATGTAAATTAAGTAACATCTAATTTTTGGTGGTATACGAGTATCAATCCTAAAATTGAGTACCACTTATAAAATATTATTTTTAAATTATATTAAAATGTTTGTTTTTTGTTTTGTATAGTTTTACAGTTAAAATAAATTTTGCATTCTTAAATTGAATTTTAGGTGCCTTTTATGTTTATAAAATTATAGTTATATTTCTTAATTATTTATATTTTGTATTATGTAAATCAAGTTGTTTATTTTTACTTTTTTTATAGTCTGTAGAAGAATTAAAGAAGTGGAATTTAACTTTGGGAAAAAATCTAGTTGAACTTTCTGGTCGTGTTTTACCTCCAGAAAAAATCAAAAGTAATACTAGAGATTATGATGGAGCTTTGGAAGCTGATTGGACTAAACAATTACGTTTTTTACCTATGTATACTTGTGCTTTGATGAAATGTTGGGTAATTGTCGCACCTCAAGATTGCATAAGAGATGTTCAACCTTTTGCTGTCAATCTTGCTAAAGCTGCCCAAGGAATGTCCTTTACTTTGCCTAGGCCAATTTTGTATGTATAAGAATTTTTGAAAATTTAACGAATATTAATATATTGCTATATAATGATTGTCTGCTTTTAGAATTCCCATGAGAGATGCCCGGTCTCAATCATTTTTGAGTAGTTTAGAACAAGTTATAAATGAACACAATCCTACTATGATACTTTGTGTTATCCCATCGGCAAGAGGAGATATTTATAGTTTAATTAAACGTAAATTGTGTGTTGATAGAGCAGGTAAACTTTTAATTAGTCATAGTTTTTTTTTTTTTACAAATATACTAAAGAGATGGTGTAGCCAAGCTAATGGGTTGTGGATTGACGGGTAAAGGGTAGCGGGTAAGAGTGCTTATTTTGCAAATGTCATCATGAGTTTGCAGCATGGTCATTGGTAGTTATATTTGTTTAGTCAGAGATCAGTTCAGTAATTAGTGTCATAATCCTCACCAAAAAAGAATTAACCATCTATCTTGGAGTATTTAAGGCCAAGAAACTTTTTTGGGGGGTCGTAATGGTTCTTAATGTGCTGGAAAAGTGAATAAAAACAAATTATTGTAATATATACAAGTGGAACAGATCTAACTGACAACTCGTATAACTTATGATCTACATAACATTTTATACTTTTTTTTTTTTCAATTTTTATAATATAGAATTATATTTAAAATATGTTTTAAATTATTTTTCGCAATTACAAAAAATATTTTAAAAATGAATTTTTTTAAGATCTGAAAATAGCCATTTTATAGATAAGTTTTATAGAAAAATTTTGTTACAAAAACTCTTATTTTAATTCAGTAGTTTGTTTATACAGCATTTTGAAGTTTGTTAAATTTTGATTTTTTTTACAATTTTCCTATGATCTCATATGTTAGTCCATATTATGTTAAGTACGGAAATAAACACTTATTATGTTATTTACTAGTAACAGTACGCAATTTCTTTTCCATGAATATTATTAACATTTGTAATTGACATGAAAAAACAAGTAGTAGTATATTTAAGATTATTAAAAAAAATTATAGAAACATTGCCTAAAACATGTTGAATTTTTAATTAAATAAGTTCATATATCATAAATTTAAATGTGAATAACAGTGAATAAGTGCATTTATTATGAAATCTCCTAACAAGGAATACTCTATAATAATATGATTACAATAATAGAATCACACAAATTAATAGTGTTATCACTTTTAACTTGGCTAACCATGGAACACTCGTAGTTGACATACGATAATGTTTCTAATTTTTGTAATAAAGATTAGAGGTAATCATTTCTGTATAAAGCGCGTTAAACGTTATTATTATCCATGTAAAAGAAATCACGTACTGTTACCAGTTAATAATGTAATAAGTGTTTACTTTTGTACTTTACATAATATGGACTAACATTTGATACCACAGGAAAATTGTATAAAAAATCAAAATTTAACAAATGTAATATTTATATTATATTTATGTAATATTAAATACTTTTAGTTCCATCTCAAGTAGTTCTTTTAAAGAATGTTCAAAAAAACAATATGTCTGTTGTTACCAAAATCGCAATTCAAGTTAACTGTAAAATTGGTGGTGCTCCTTGGCTTGTAGCAATTCCTAAAAAGGTAAATCATTATTTCAGGTATTGCTTTTTGTTTAAACAGTTCTAGAAATACTTTCTATGATAGATTAATGAACTATACACATGAACAAAATATTTTAATTCATAAAATTATAACTAGCTCTTATTACACTGCACAAAAAATCATATTTTCTGTGCCAAGCTAACAACATGATAGTAGATTCTGAATGGAATTACATCACTAACTCTGAATCTGGCCTTAGAATTTTATAAAATTTTATTAATGAATGTGAAAAAAACAGTATTTTATGTATTAATTGGGTTGTATACCCCATAACCTAAGTTAAATGCAAAAGTTAAGCTTTAATTTTTGTTAAATAAATATCAATAGAATTTTAAATCCATATGTAGTGGCTTAAACTTGACATATAGATCTCAAAAATTGCAAGTACCTCTTAAATGTAGCTCATTAAAGATTTATATGGATTTTTAATGAGCAATTAATTATTTAATTTTTACTAATTAGTAATTATCTCAAAAATTAGAATCAACTTGAAAATTCTAAGGCCAGATTGAGGATTAGCGACTAAGTTCTATTCAGAATTATATGTTATATTAATATCATATTGTTTGCTAAAAAAAGAGTTATATTTCTAATGTTTATGTTTTGAATATTCATTTATATAATTCAAGTAGTAGTCTTGAAAGATAGTGATTGATTGGAAATATTTCAAATAAGCTTAATATAAAATAAAGATTTATTAGAAAATTTAATCAGTAAAGTTTATGAAAAAACTATTTACAAATATTTTTATTCTTGCTAATATCTGGAATTTTTAACTCAATTTAATAGATAATATACACTCAGTCATTAAAAAAATACTTGATCGATAATGAAAAACTAATTTTTTAGTATTATTTTCATGAACAATGATTATTTGAAAAAAATAATGGAAAAATAGTTTTTAAAATTAAGACATTGGCTATTATTGAGTTTTATTGACCACATTCGCCTCGATTCTAGAAAATGCTGCTGAGTGCACCTGATCATCACATATTAGAAATACATACATGTTCCCCACTATATATATATATATGATAACAAAGGATACTCATGAAACATGTTTTAAAAAAAATTTAATTAGGTTTACAATGGAAATTTTATCATATACTGAACAATGAGAAATTTACCGTTATTTCTATATTTTTCACATTATGGCTGACATTCACTCTGAATATAACACTAGAAGTAATTACTAATAATTTAAATAGTTATTAATAGTTGATTGGAGATTCCTGAAAATTGACAAACAGATGATATGTAATCAGATGTGCTTGGCTGCATTTTTCCAAGTTGAGATGAATGTGACCAATAAAACTCAATAATAACCGATGTTTTGATTCAAAAATTATTTTCTCTGAATGTATGGAGAAACCATTCATTGTACATGAAGAGAGACTGAAAAGTCAAAAAATTGGTTTTTCATTATCATAAGTCAATTATTTATGAGTAGTAATATACGTTATCATCTAAATCAATATTAATCATTTTTATTATTTAAGAAAAGTGTCAGTTTATATTTTATAAAAAAAAATAATTAAGGTAATTTGGACATAAAAACATAAATAAATTCATATTTTATAAGACTTTTTAAATGTACAAGCATTATGACTTGAAAGAAAAAAAAATTGCAGTAATTTTTGAGCCTTCTTTATTTGATAGTTGAAATGTTGAGTGTAAATGATGATGCAACTGAACAAACCTTTGAATAATTAGTTTTATTATGCCGTCATATATTCATATAGTATTGATTATTACAGGGTATGATGATAGTTGGTTTTGATGTTTGTCATGATTCCCAAAAAAAAAATATTTCTTATGGTGCGCTTGTGGCTACTATGAATGATTCTCATACTTCTTACTTTAGTTGTGTTGAACCCCATAATAGTGGCGAAGAGTTATCCAATCATTTTGCAGCTGGCATAAGTAGTAAGTAATTTTAAATTATTTGAAAAACTGTGATTACACTTTTATATAAATCAGTTTATTTTCTAGTTTTGCATTATTATATTTGAGGTTGAGTATCACTATATTATGTTTAAAAACCTTCTATTGCAAATAATAGAAATTAAACATTTAGAAAAGTTTAATTTGAAGGGCTTAGTTCATCAAAATGAATTAAGTTCAATTTTTTATAATTTTCAAGAGTAAGAATTTTTAACAAAAAATTGTTTTTAAAATAATTTTCTAAATTAAATATTCCTACAAATAGAAATGTAGAACTCGTTTTTGTACTGAGTTAACACAAAAATTATTTCAAAACTAACAAAACAGTATTTTATCAGTAACTTATCTGGTCTTGCAGCTTGTCTCCTTCAATTTAAAAATATTATTGATGAATATTTTATTTTTTGTACATTTGAAAAATGAATACAAAATAGTTATTTTATTGTATCACTTTAACTCTTTTAATATCTAGTTTTTTTTAGCAAGTAGAGTTTATTGAGTTTCATTAACTTTTTTTTTTTTAATCGATAATCAAATATTTTATATTTTATTAGCAGCCATTTGTATTGAAAACAAATGATTCATATAAATATTAATATGCATGCGTAAATAGTATATTTTTTGATAAACTGAACAATATGAAGTATTATATGATACAATGTAGTTAAGTATTCCAAAAACTTTATTTATTAAGTGCTATTATTATCCAAGTACCATTTATATATTATTAAACTAAAATTGATGAGTAAAAAAAAATGTTTTTTTTTTTTCATTTTTATCATTTGGCATAACATTGAAATATTAAAAAAAAGACAAATATCCATCATTAAAATTAATATGAAACCTAATTATATAAACTTAAATTTGATGTGTTAGTATATCAAACAAACAAAAAAAAAAACCTTTTTGGGATTGTAACAAAACCATCAGATTTACAAAATATTGAATATCTAAAGTATAAAATGCAAAATTTTGTACATTTTGGAAAAATGTCCAAATTTTAATCATTTTATTAAAATTCAGTTGAGTAACCTTACCAGCAATCTTACAAAAATATCTTAAATTTTTACAAACTTATTTTTTTTACTATAAATATTAATTATATGGTTGGTGAAAAAATTCAATTTTTTTTTTAGCTACATTGTTGGTGGTGTACATATATGCTGTCTGCATTCCATACACACTATGTATTAAAATTTGTAACTCAATAAGTATTAATTTTGATATTGTTATTGACCCATTAAAATTTTTTGTAAGAAAATGGCTTAAAGTAAGAAAGGCTTGGGGTAACAAAAATTAATTGTTTCGTACACAATTAATGTTGTTAATTTAACCGCTATTTATATTCATTAATATATATACATTTATATGTATTCATATATTTTTAATTATTTAAAGTATGATTCGTATTGGTCATACCTTTTAATGCTTGCATGCATATGTTATCTCCTTTTGGACTTCATCAGTTAGAGTTTTTATTGTGAAATACCACTTTGTTGAATATTGTATAGCAAATTCAGTTTTGATGTTTGTTAGATTCTTGATATCCATGAGAATAGAAGTAATCTTTATTTGTACATTTTGTTAATAATTGTTTTTGTTCTAAAATGTAAAAATTTTTATTATTATTTAGTTAAGTCTTAACTAACATCAGTTAGTACTCATAAGATCATTTGTTCTCCATTAGTATTTTAATATAGAAATATAAATAATTATTATCTGATCACTCTAAAATGCCTCTTTTAAATTATTTTTATTTTTCATTCATTTTAAATTATAGATAATATGTGATGATCTCCTTTTAAGTTTAATTAAAGGATCATTCATATAATTAGTTTTATATTATCTGAGAATTAAAAATGGGCAAGCTCAAATTTTAAGAATATTGGTATTACTTAAGTAACATCTAATAATAATTTAAAATATTTAAAAAAATTTATTAGGTAGCCTTAAAGATAAAGTAGAAGAACAAAAATCAACCATTTATAAAATTTAATGTGTAAGTTGTAATAAATATTTACAAATAAATTAAACATAGGTATTAGGCTTGCAGAACACTTCAAAAACATTAAAATCAACAAGTTGATAAATCTGCTGTCACTAAACATTTACTGATACATAATTGAATTAATTAAATTTACTCCTTTAAAACCATAAAACTAATAATAAATTAAATAATTACAAAACTTAATATAAAAGAGGTAATAGAAATGTTTAAAAGTAAAATTAATTGCAATGCTCATTTCAAAATTCATTATTAAACTGATGTATGTTAACTGGCAAAATGTGACAATAGACAATCGGTTATATTATAATTTAGTAATCGGGTCACTAAGATTTTATAAAGGAGTATTTTTTGAGTTAAATATTTTTAGGTAATTTATATTTTTAATTAATATCAACCACAAGTGATCAATTTGTATTATATTTTTTCAAAAGTTATTTGTCATATCTTTGTGACTCGTTCTGTACATACAATACTATTTTTAATAATTTAATTATTAAATATTTATTTTATTTTTTAATTTTAGAGGCATTGGCAAAATATAAGTTGAAAAATAATGGACAGTTGCCTACTAGTATTGTTATTTATAGAGATGGTGTTGGAGAAGGTCAAATTTCATATGTTCATAAGACTGAAATAAAATTATTACGAGTAATTATTATTTATAGTTTAATGCTAGAAAATGTATAATAACTTAATTATTTGTATTTTAGGCTGCTACTGAGCAGTTCTATGGTCCTGTGTCAGTTCCTTTGGCATTTATTTTAGTAACTAAGCGGATAAGTGCAAGATTCTTTACAAAGCAAGGTATTCAAAATCCTCAAGCTGGTACAATTGTCGACAGTGTGGTGACTGATCCTACTAAGTGAGAGCTATATAAATTGTTAAGCTTTATTTTACTTCAAGAATGTGTTTACAGATTGTTATTTAATCCCCTTAGTCACACTGTTATCTTAACAAATATTGTTATTTTGATATTTTCAGTGAACAACTCTTCTGTAAGTTTCATTATTAGATGTTACAGATAGTCATGAGATTCAAATTATTAAATGTTTAAATATATTAAATATTTGAATATTATAATATTCAGTTTTTATATTCATTTAAATTGTACTTATTTTATTAGTTGTCTCTAGATTTACTTATATATTTTTGATAAGCCAACTGCATTATTCTATTTTTATTTTTTTATTAACTTAAATTAAATAATTTTTAGATATGATTTCTTCCTTGTATCACAACATGTACGTCTAGGAACCGTCACCCCTACACATTACACTGTAATTGAAGATACATTAAGGCTTCCACCGGATATAGTTCAAAGATTAACTTATAAATTATGTCACATGTATTACAATTGGAGTGTAAGTATTTTCTTCTATAATAAATCATAGAAAAATTGCCATTATTAGAAACTTAATGATGTCAGATTTTCAAAAAAAAAAAATGTATAAACAAAAGGGCTCAGTAAAGTTTTTTTGGGAAAATTATTTTTGGCATATTATGAATGTTTAAAATTTTTATCAAAAACGCTCATTGATGCTAGCATTTTTCAATTTGAATCTGAATTTACCTGATCTACCTAAAGGTATTCTTGGAGTATCCTGAAAATTTTGTTGAAATTTGTTGGTTTTTGACCAAATTATGGCCTTTTTTTTAAATCCACGTACATAGTTATTAATAAAATATGATTTTGGTTTACGCATGTCAATTTTGTTTAAATTTTATGATAGTTTATGTATTTTTCACTAATAACACAAAATTTAAAGATTGTTATAAATGATAATTAGGTTTTCTTATGCCTACCTGTTATTTTGAGTTAGTAAGATATTATGAAGTATAATTGTGAATATACCTGAGTATTTTGTTGTCATATTATTTAATTTAGAAATGGGATTAAATTTCTCGTAATCTGGTTTTGGAATAATACTTTTTTGCGCAACACATTTAGTGCCTGATGTAGCTGAGTACTTCTACCAGAATCAATGGCCAACCTATAAGGACAGCCTAAAGGCCTTGTGAGTACCCGGTCTTGAAGCGGTTCCCCAACTTGATGAAGCCTAGTATAAAATAAAAATTTTAAAATATTTTCTTTTCATAAATATATAAAAAATTAATATAATAATTAATTATTATTAATAATATATTATAATTCTATATATAAATATTAATAAATTAAGCTATAATTTAGGTTCATTATGTTGGTTTATTTATAACTTCACATTTTTCACCATAGCCATTAAAATATAGTATTTTTTAGCTTCGATGCGAAGCTGAGAAGGTATTGGTTTTACTAAGATGTGTTTTTTTTTTT